GCGTTAGTATGTGGGAAAGAAAGTAGAAAGAAAAAAATATTGTATTTTCGACTTTTTATAATCTTGACAATTTGTATTTTCGACCTTTTTCAATTTCTACTTTTTGAAATTCGTACTTTTGTATTTCGATCTTTTGTATTTTCGACATTTTGTATTTTCGACATTTTGTATTTTCGCCATTTTGTATTTTCGACGTTTTGTTGTTCAACCTTTTGTCATTCGACCTTTTGTTATTCGACTTTTTGTTATTCGAGTTTTTGTTATTCGACTTTTTGTTTTTCGACCTTTTCTCATTCGATCTTTCGTATTTTCGACCTTTTGTATTTCGACTTTTTGTTATTCGACCTTTTCTCATTCGATCTTTTGTATTTTCGACCTTTTGTATTTCGACCTCATGTTTTCGACCTTTTTTCCGGGACTCCGTATACATAGAGCACAAGCAGAAAATTTGTTCAAACAAAAAACTCTTTTTACACGTAAATGAAAAGATTTAAAACCATTTCCAGCTTTCCCAGAATTAATTCGGCTACACCCCCTTATTCGGCCTATGTTACTTGGCCTATTCCATAAGATTTACAGTATCAAAGGGTTCGAATCAGGGGTGGCGCATATTCCCAACTCTTTTCAAAATATACTTGGACCAATGTATTCAGTGCTTGGAAAGGAAAATGTCATGCTATGAGCCTTCCACTAAACGAAAATACTCTAGACTAGACTACTACTACTACAGTCGACCAGGTTTTAAATCCCAAAACTATGATTGTATATGACACGTGAACTTATATGAGAATACAAAAAACGGGGACTGGAGGTCTACATATATTAAAGAGAATATAAGCTTAGATGGACAATACCAAGATCAAGTAGATACTGGAAGGTGGATAGAACACCACATATGAGAGTATAAATAAATACCAAGTGAAAATTACCTACGAAGGATATACGCAGCAATTAGAAATCGAAGCAACCTGGTTAGAAAAGCTATCACTTTACTGAACAGTATCTTGTGGGATAAACATTTCAAGACAAAAGATAAGAAAGACATTAATATCTACTTCTATCATTAAAAGTGTAATAACCTGATATGAAGTATGATAACCAAAGAAAAAACAGAAAAATCATTGAGAAACGGGGAAAATGCATAAAATAAACGAATCAGGTGTTAGAGGAATAATAGAAATGACAAACACAATTACAGATGATATCAGAAATAAACAACTAAGTAATATGGTTTGGACACTTACAGGAGATTTGAATACGGAAGACGTCAGAGAACAAAATAACCTATATATATAAGGAGCAATATAATATTTTACCACATGTAACATTTGAATTTGAACAATAGCCCAGTTCTAAGACTATTTGGAGAAGAAATAATCAATGATAATGGCAGCTCACACATCTCTGTGAGACCCACAATCTTAGAATAAACAATGGGTTTTTCAAACACAAAGATATTCACCTCTACACATGGATACAGAATACCCGTAACCTGAAAACTATTATTGACTATGTGATAAGCAAACAAGAAACAAACATAACATAAACGACCTAAGAGGAATAACTTGCGGGTCAGATCATTTTTAAGTAAGAGCCAAAATTAAGTTGCAATTTAGAATAACGAACCAGAAAACAGAGGAACAAAACAACCAATACCATGCTCACGGACACAGTGGATACAACACAATACAATTTTGACAGTTTTAGAGATGAAAACACTGTATTTCTATATCAGAGGCGACTCGACAGCAAACTATATTGAACCCTGAAGAATATACCTTCAATAAACTCTATGAGAACATTATAAGGAGTCTAATAGAAGCCACCCAAAAAGCAATAGGAACGAAGGAAAAAATACCAACAAGAAATACTGGTGGAGCGAGGAGATAGAGAAGAAGTGAAAATATTTGAAATGGCTAATAACAAAAAATTAACAAGACCTTGAAGTTTATAAAGACACAAAAAGACAACTAAGAACGTGCATCACTATAGCTAGGAACGAGTCATGGGATAAGAAATGTGAAGAAATTAACACCTACATAGGAGGAAGGAAATGCTCAGAGGTATGGAGATTTATATCAAATGTGAAAAACCCAGGAAAGGACAGAGCTAATATCCAGATTATAAAACCAGAGCAATGGATAGAACACTACGAGGGTCTATTACAAGAAAGTAGATCGGAATATATATTAGATTCTCCAAGACATATTGAAGTACATGGAGAAGTAGTTGAGATATCTGAATAAACCATAAAAAAGACTGTTAAGAATCTCAGGACAGGTAAAGCTCGTGGCCCAGAAGGGATATACTCCGAAATGATGAAATGGGGAACTGAGAAGCTCTTTAAAGGTCTCACATGTATTATCAATAAATGCCGTTCCACAAGACTGTAAAACAGCTTTTTTCTCCAAACGTCAAAAAAACGTCACTGTTAACCCCTGTCAAGATGTCAGAAATTTAACTTCTATGCTGCTAGGTAAATCTAGCGGGTTAACACCTGTCGAGGTGGTAGAAGTTTAATTTCTATGCTGCTTGGCAACCCCAGCGACAGCAAAAGTACTTTTAGTGCCGCTCGTACTTTTACTGCCGCTCAACAATCCACTTGCCCCCGAGCTTACCCCATTAGTTTGGAGAAAAAATAGCGTGTTGCATACGGAGTAGAAGCACTTTTCTGTGCTTCAGCAGTATTGCAAGCCTCACTACGTTCGGCTCGCAAACCTACTGCTTCAGCACAAAAAAGTAAAGCTTCTACTCCTAATACAACAATATACTATTTTCTAATTTTGACATTTAAAGTGACACTTTTCAAAACTCGTTGACGTTATCAAATGCCTTACTTTTCATCACCAGTTACGAAAAGTAAAATTTTTCGCAAATGGTGATGAAAAGTAAATTTCACCATTAGTTGCAAAAAATACAGGAACATAATCTGTGATACTTTTGGGGCTCAACTACTTGAAGTACCACATAGCCCTTAGCGGCTGTATTAGACTTCCACCCCCCATGCTATTCAATTCTCAGCAAATCAGCCATAGAATCTACAAGCAAAGTAGGTAGTCGATGATCGCCGAAAGCAATGACCGGTTTGAGTTGCCAAACTTGATACTGAACAGTACGCTTCCATAACAACGAAATAGGAAACATCTCTGAACTTACTTGACGATTTAGAAATAATTATAGAATGGACATTTTTTATGTTTTTGACTGGAATTTGAATGGATCAGATCATAATATACAAAATTAGAAAAAATATTGTGTGAAACACGTTGGGAAACACTATTTTTCGTAACTCGCTTCGCTCGTTCCGCAGAAATCTGCTCGTTACGAAAAATAGTGCTTTTCCCAACTGGTTGCACAAATAACTATTGTATCATCCATTCACAAAAAAGGAGATAAGCTGGATTGCAATAACTATCGGGGCATATCAGTCACAAGCACATTAAGGAGACTATACGGTAGAATCCTACGTGATCTCATTGAAGAAGATTATAAAGAGCAAGAAAAATAAGAGCAATGCGGCTTTAGAGCAGGAAGATAAGGTATTTTGCCACACCTATATAACGCCACTTAAAGAACTATCTGAAGACTCAAAATCAAGAATTGAGATAAGTAAAAAACTCACAGACACATTTATAGTGAATGAAGGACTACGTCAAGGATGTTGTATCTCTCCTACGATTTTTAAAATATAGGTAGCAGTAGCACTGAAAAATTGGAAGAGGAAGATCCATGGAATGGGTATAGAAATAAATGATAGGTGCCTGTTTACTCTTCAGTTTGCAGATGATCGAGTCATAGTGGCCAGTGACAACGAGGACATGCAATATATGATTAGAAAGCTGATAGAAGAGTACCAAGTATAGGGCCTGAGAGTTAATATAAATAAAACAAAATTATCTATGTGTAGGCACCCAGAACGGAAACTTGGAAGTGGACGATGGTCAGGAAATTTTGCAGTGTCAAGAATATGAGTATCTACGTATCACATTCGACAACACCGAAACAGACGCGAAAGAAATGGAAAAGCTAATAGTTAAAACTAAAAAAGTAATAGAATGCCTAAATAGAATATTATGGAGCAAGGAAATAACAAAGAAGAGGAAAGTCAATATATACCAGACAATAATAAAGAGCAACATGGAGCTGAGACTTGGAGAATTACAGACCTACAAAAGAAAAAAGTGGAAGCAGTTAAAATGGATGCTATTAGAAGATCCATGCAAATCTCACGAAAAGAGAGAATAAGGAACGACAATATAAAACAACAAATGAGAATAGAAGGCACGATAGTTCAGGACATTGAAAAGAAACAACTTACCTGGTACGGACACGTAGAACGAATACCAAATGCGAGATGGCCCAGAAAAATGCTGCATTGGCAACCAACAGGTACAAGAAAACGAGGAAGACCAAAACTGGAACGGTAGAAGACTATACAAAAGTTCATGAGTGAAAGAAATCTCTCATCAGAGGATTGCAACGATACAAGAGGATGGAAATAAGGTGTCGGACAACCAAGAAAGACTTTCTAAAACGACATATAACATTTGAATTAATTATTATCCTTCATTCATTGACCAGTCATAACTGACTAGAATGGTTCATAAACAATGGATATGTCAAGTTAGTTGAAATTTGAAAACCTAACTTCGATTCCAAAAGAAAAACACAAAGTCTTTCGCTTTATTTTTTTCTTTTGGAATCAAATTTCAACTCCACTTTAAGAGATGGACGACTTCTCCACTTTAAAATCTAACTTCACTGTTGGCTTGTGACTTTCAGAATCCTGTTACATGAGTAACCATGTTTTCCTAATATCGATACATATAAGCAAGGGAATGGTAGAAAGAGATCATCATCGCTAATGGACTCTGCAATGCAATAATATGTAAAGCTTCTGATTCTCAAAAATTTGCATGTATATTTCGAGATTTTTGACATTAACTCATAATGGATATAAAAACTCGCATATAATTTAAGCTACTAAGAAATCGTCTTACCTTTTTCTCAGTCAATTTCTCGCATCTCCTCTGCTTACAAATCTGATGGCTTTTGTCGTTCCTGCACGGCGCGCAATCACCGCAATTATCCTTCCGCTGACAACCGACGCATTCGCCGCACCGCTTCCTCTTCTTTTTCACTTGCTTGTCCATGACGCCGCCGCTAATGTCGTGCCCGTCCATGCCCATGGCCATGTGTTGCGTTTTAAACCCGTCCGTACTGGAAACCGCCGCGACCTGACCGGAATTCTCCTGGCCCAAGTCCATGTTGCTCGACGCCCCGTCACTTTCCGCGGAACTTTCCAGACTGTTCGCGCGCATTTTCCGTCTTTCCTTTTTGCGAAAATCGTTACGCGAAGGCGACGTCATTATGGTACCGCCGTTAAGTTTCTTTTCGATGCCGTTATAAAGTCCCGAATCACTGTTCAATGCGGCCATGGGGTTTTGGAATTGTGTCGGGTGCAACGATACGTTTTGTAGTTTTAAATCCGATTGATGTAACGAGCCTAACTTAATATCTGGTTCGGATTTGAGTACTGTCACGACCGTGGGTGAGGAAATTAGTTGATGGCTATTTTGCAAGATAGCTCCATTTTGACCCGTGGGAAATATCGTATTGTTTATAGGATGCGAATATAACTGTATATGCCTTTCGTCTAAAAATTGTTGTTGGATCGATGGTATTTCTCTAGCTTGTATCGGGGCAGGTACTAAAGGGTAATTTCTAGGATTTACGGCACTTAATGTATGAAAACTAGAATTTAAGGTGGTGAGTTGTGGACTAGAATTTGGCGATACTGGGGTTAGGTTCGTTAAGGTGGTCAAAGTTGGTTCGTTCGTGCCAGCTTCACTGAAAGCTTGAAACTGGCTTTGAAACGAAGGCAACTTTGACGCACCGGTTTGATTCGCGAACGCGTCCGTCGTGAATGCGTTTACTTGCGTCGTATTGGCAAAAGTAGCTGTGGAAGAATCTATAGGTTTCGATTCCCAAGGACGATATTGTGGCTGAGACGTTATTATGGATAAACCGTTTTCGCCTCTTTCCACCAAACGGGTTTCGGTATAATAATCCCAATTTGATATGTCTAAAAGGCGCGTGTCACTGAATAATCTATCGGATACTGAGGTAAATGTTCCGTTGCCGTCTATGTCTGCAGCAAACGTTGAAAACGGTGGTAAGTTAGCTCCTGGTGGTAGGTCTTGGACTGTAGAGCTAGGTGTTGCCGGCGTAGATGGATATGATGGAGCGAGAGTTGTGTAGGCCACTCCGAGCCCGTCGGGGTCTTGACTCAGTGTCTCGCTCATGGTTTGCTAACTGCTCATTGTCACTCGGGAGGCTCCTATCTTATATTTTGTGCAAAAATATTTTCGTTTTTATTGTCATTATTCTATAATAATTATTATAAAAAGGATCCTGAATGGTTTCGCTGAGTCGGTTAATTTATTTGGCTTTGTACTCTTTGTTTATATTTTAGTTTTGTACTCTTTGGTTCTTCTTGTTTCGTATAAAAAATATATCGTCTTGCTGCTTCTATAAAAATAATATCTGAAATAAATAAGAAACAAATATTAGAAGATATGTTGTTGTTAGACGCATGTGGGTGGATCTGGTGGGTTAAGGGGGAACAAGTTCTAAAGAAAACTAGATTTTTCGCTCGCTCACGTTTTGATTCACCTCAAACCACATCAAGGCGTTTTTGTGAATATGTGTTGCGTTATATTTTTTTTTATCACGTAACCTTTGTATAACGATTTAGTCCTGTTTCTTTAATTTATTTTTCTGTAGGATTCATAAAAATGACAGCTGCTGAATATGTGAATAGGTAGTAGTAGTACCATGTCTATGGTAGTACCTATCCTAGTTTACCGGTGTGAAGTTAGCACACCGTTCCAGCACCCAAAACTATGAAGTTAGCATACCGTTCCAGCACCCAAAACTCCGAAGTTAGCACCCATTTTCCAGCACGCCAAATATTAGCTTTGTTTTGGTTCGTAAATACGGGATGATTTTAGAATTAAGTAGAACTAGTTGCGCACTCGCATCAAACTGAGAACTGTTCGGAATCAATTCGCGAAAGTATTAAACCAAAACGCATTCTTGCATTACGTCAGATTCTTCGTGAGCCATGTTATTACTTGACTCAACTTGAAGCTCAAAAAGTAGAGGTTACATTGTGAATGGTGGTGGTGCAGGGTACTTATTGTAATGTTAAATCTGAGCCCAACGACTCGGAAGAAGGCAGCTTCATGTGCTGCATGTGAAGAAATTTTTCAGGACATACTCTGGAAAAATCCTGTTTCCTTTTTTGGATAATATTCTGATTGTTGAAATTCAATTGCAAGATTTTCAACCTTAAAATGATCAAGAAACTCTTTATCAGTGTACATGGGCATTATATCTCCAGCATAATTTTCATTTTGTTGGTGGTGCCTGAGAACTTCCGGTATAAGAATTGCTAGGAAGACCTCATCATTTTCTGATATCTCGTCATCACTGCTTGAACTGAAAAGATCATATGAAATACCAAAAAATTTGATCACTAAACTGAAAACTTGTTTTAAACAAAAAAAATAAAATAATAGTCTTACTAGTATAAATAGCTTAATCCGCTTGATATCTATAATTTTCCAAAACCAAAACAAAGCTTTTGTGCTTAAAAATACCCAAAAGAAGTCCTAGAAATAAGGTTAATTTCAACTATATACTCATGTGCGAACTGTTTAATTCTCAAACCATCCCTACATGCCCTATTCACGGGTGCGGATCGTCAGAATGATTCCAGAACAGTTCCGAACTGCGTAGTGCAGAAACCAAAACAGCGAATCAAAAATTCGGAATTGATTCTGGAAATACCAAAACGCAAAAAACTTTTTGAGCTTGTGCGAACTGTCCCAAAAAGATTCTCTACACAAACCAAAACAAACCTATTACTTTTCAAATTTCACTAATTAAGGTATAAAATATATCATTACAAGTGGGGTATTTGAACGGGAGTAGTAGTTTTTCAAAAGATTAGGTATTATTCGAGGTGATTGAGCACCCCTCAAAAGGAAATTAATGAATTGAAAATTCATGTATTTTTTTAATTTCTCAACGCTTAGATGATATATTACGACCACATTTGAAAGAATGCTTAATAAGGGGTTACTTAATCACCCTTCAGAAGCAAATTCACTTAACAGCCGTCCAAGATGGAAAAATCAACACTTACCTATATGAAAAAAATAATTAAAAATTCGTGCTTTTTTTCTAATTTCTCGGCACCTAGATGATATATCACGACCAAATTTGAAGGGATGCTTAATAAAGGGCTGCTTAATCACCCTTCAGAAGGAAATTCACTTAGCAGCCGTCCAAGATGAAAAAATCAACACATATGAAAAAAATCATTAAAAATCCCTGTTTTCTTTTAATTTCTCAGCACCTAAATGATGTATCACGACCAAATTTGGAAGGACGCTTTTTTCTAACTTCTCGACACCCAGATGATCTATCACAACCAAATTTGGAGGGATGCTTGATAAAGGGATGCTTGATAAAGGGTTGCTTAATTATCCTTCAGACGGAAATTCACTTAGCAACCGTCCAAGATGGAAAAATCAACACTTCTTATATGAAAAAATTGATTGAAAATCCGTGTTTTTCTCTAACGTCTTGGCCCCTAGATGATGTTCACGACCAAAATTGAAGGGATGCTCAATAAAGGGTTGCTTAACCACCCTCCAGAAGGAAATTCACTTAGCAGCCGTCCAAGATGGAAAAATCAACACCTATATGAAAAAATGTATTAAAAATTCGTGTTTTTTCCTAATTTCTCAGCACCTAGATGATATATCACGACCAAATTTGGAGGCATGCGTAATAAAGGGTTGCTTGATCACCCTTCCGAAGGAAATTCACTTAGCAGCCATCCAAGATGGAAAAATCAACACTTATATGAAAAAATTGATTGAAAATCCGTGTTTTTTTTTAACTTCTCGGCACCTAGATGATATACCTATCACGACCAAATTTGAAGGGAAGATTTTTCCATCTTGGACGGCTGCTAATTGAATTTCCTTCTGAAGGGTGATTAAGCAACCTTTTATAAGGCATTCCTTCAAATTTGGCCGTGATATATCATCTAGATGCTGAGAAATTAGAAAAAAACCACGAATTTTCAATCAATTTTTTCATATGTGTTGATGTTTCCATCTTGGACGACTGCTAAGTGAATTTCCTTCTGAACTGTGATCAAGCAATCCTTTATTAAGCATCCCTTCAAATCTGGTCATGCTATATCCATCTAGGTGTTGAGAAATTAAAAAAATACACGAATTTTCACTAATTAAATTTTCTTTTGAGGGGTGCTCAATCACCTTGAATAATACCTAATCTTTTGAAAAACTACTACTCCCATTCAAATACCCCACTTGTAATAATATATTTCATAATTTAATTGGTGAAATTTAATAAATAATTATTTCGCGTGCTGGAAAATGGGTGCTAACTTCACAGTTTTGGGTGCTGAAACAATGTGCTAACTTCACAGTTTTGGGTGCTGGAACAGTGTGCTAAGTTCACAGTTTTGGGTGCTGGAACGGTGTGCTAACTTCACACCGGTTACAAGTTTATAATCATATAAGCAAGATTGTGATAAAGCGAATTTATTCACTTACTCCATAAGACTTTGTGTTTCCATCATACGCCCAAATATTGATGATGCACGCGCTATTTGCAACCCATTTGTCAAAAATATTGATCTTTTAGAGCGAGTGCAAAGAATAGTAACCACGATGCCCCAAAGTTTGTCAAATAACAGTTACGAATTGCGCCTATCAAAATTAAATATATCCACTTCAAAAACCAGAAGGTTAAGAGGGGATCTGATAGAGACATATATAAAATCTTACAGTTATTATTTCGTTCCAGTTCCTTTGAGCTTCGGGAAAATATACAATTGCAGGGTCTTTCTTCAAAGTTAGAGACAGAAAGGACATCCCAAACTGCCTATAAGAGACACTTTATTGTAAATTGCGAAGTCTAGCTATCGGTGGAAGCACTCAGTGAAGAATCTGTCACGGCTCGAACAATGAGTTCATTTGAAAACTATATTGATAGCAAATTACCGGAAATCCTAATTCTACGAAGGAAGTTGAAATACAATTTCAATAGTTTCATCGGTGTAAACCGCTCACTAACCTTAGGGCATATGAAGATCAATGTTTGTGCCTCAAGAACACTGTCTCATGACCTAATATGTGGAACTTGAAATCAGCTCTGTCGGAGATATTTCTGATTTTTTTAATCATATGCCTTCTTAGTTGTTAGGATTCAAACCAATAGCGTACTTATTATTGGGATTCAGAGCACAAGGCTAATTATATTTTCTTATGATTTTGTGTACTTATCTACATCCCTAAGTAAAGAAATACTCATTCCAGATATGTAATAGGTTGTCAAGAGTTTCGCTCGAAATAACTGACCAAGTAACAGCCCCTTTTCATTGGCAGATATTCTATTAACAGGCCTGAATAGTAAGTAGTACCAAGTACGTCAGTAAGGAATGTGCAGTAAAGATTTACTTCGTGTCCGATAACTTTGAGTATGTAGATAAAAGCAACCAAGACATTCGTGGCTTTTTATGTAGTAGTTAAGAATATCAAAAGCAAAACAGACATCAAAGTATTCCCTTCTGCGAACAAGAGTAGTTAAGTCTAAGTAAGTCAAAGTCTGGTCAACGCTGAGAATCACACCACTCAGAGACAGTTTGTACCTAGCAAACTTGATAAAGTGTTGAACACTCTCAAGCCTATTGATGTGGATCTGATAATAAGGTGACCAACCTATGGAAGAAAATGCAAGAACGGCTCTGACCACAGATGTGTAAATAATTTTGATGGAGCGTATACTTGTAAAGTCCCTAGTAGCTCTCTTAATAAAACCCAACATTCTATTAGCCCTGCCAATTACCACTTCAAAATGCTTGGTGAACATAAACCTTATATCTAAAGAGACACCAAGATCTTTAATGACAGAAACTACAGACAAGCGCACATCACCTTATCAATACTGGAAGGGAACCTTACAGGTGAGTCTACTGAATCTTATACAACAACACTTATCAATGTTGAGGAACATGTCATTAAGCTGACACCAATCATAAACAATGTTAATGATGTTTTGCAGAATAAGTATGTCTTGAGCTGACGTCACCTGACTATACTTCAAGTCATCAGCGAAGAGTAAAAAATTTGAGGAGAGCAACGATCCTAAATCAGTGATAAATAAGATGAATAGAAGGGGGCCCAAGTGAGAGCCTTGGGGTACCTCAGAGGATGCATGGAAAGGAGTAGAGAGATAGTCATCGATCTTGACTTGTTGCATTCTGTTAGTAAGGTAAGATTTCCTTCATGAAAGTAAGGGTCCAGAAACGCCATAACTTGAGGCTGTTATGATTTATCTTATCAAAGGCTTTACTGAAGTCAGTATATATTGCATGAGTTTCTGCATTGTTATCAAATGATGCATTTATAAAATTTGTGAAGAGAAACAGGTTCGTATCA